TGCCTGGCTGCCTGCCGCCATCTTGGCTGACAGTTAATTTGCATATACTCACTGATTAGCCAATGAAAAGGGTAGCGGTCGTACGCTAATTACCATGTTTCTCTTTTATTAGTGTAGATATATATATATAGTATATGAAGTTTAACATATTCCTCTACTTCATTATATCCAAATATTCATAATTTCTTTGATACATTTTTTCTAGACTCATCCAAATTTCTTTTTTGACATCTATTTCTTATTAGAAGTAATCTAAAAGAAATTGTTTCCAGTATCAGCTCAACTTTTAATACTGTTTCTCCAAATAAAACAAGCTTTTAACTTCCGTGTCAGTTTAACATAACTTCAACTTTTACTTCAACATTACTTGGGCTTTTCATTGTCCTGGCAATACTTACAAGCCTCCTGGAACAAATGATTTGCATGGGACTAAAAGCCCTAATCTAATGTTACAAAATAATATATACATTATAATTGTGAAAATTTAAATATCAAGTTCATAAAATCATCTATCCTGAGACCACTGGCAATCAAAGGCACCCGAAGGTTACCTGTGCCTCTACAACAAAGCAAATTAAAATTTACCAAAAAAAAAAAAAAATACCTCTGTCTGCTTTGGAATAATCCTACACAGAAAACCACCAATTGTGCAAGCACTTCTATATGCTTGACCTTTCGTCAATGTCAAACAGTTTTCACGCTCCTTACATTCTCAGAGGCAAGATAAAATTTCCCTCAACAAAAAAACTTGCAAAACCTAAAAATTCATTGCAATCAAATAACCAACTTTAAGTATTGGTATGTGGAACAATTTTTATCTGCACTGCTATTCAAAGTAATCTTAAAACACTTTCATTTTGTTTCAAAGAAACAGCAATGTTTATTTTCCTAACCTCTGCAACCTCCCCAAGTAGAAACTTTTTAAAAAAATAACTCAATTAAAATAGCTTTCATACTATTTTAAATACCATAATGGCATTTCTCTGAGAAAGGTTTATTTTTCTTCTTGCTATAGTGTCATCCTACAATCCACTAACCTGAAAATTTTCCTCTTATCTCAGACTCAGAACAAAATTCTAGTAGCCTCTGGATTACCCAGAGGCCCCAGGAGGGAACCAGTTCAATAACCAATGGATAACTCTATTAGGACAAGTTTGAAAAATAGTGTTGCGATTCCTCTCTTCAGCTTACTCTGCCCCTGAGCAAAATATAAATCAAAACCTTGATTATAATCCAAGTGGTAAGAAATACTGGGAAAGAATACAACTTTGGGGGAAAAAATGAGGAAGTTCACAAGAAAAGAACATGGTAGGTAAGCATTATTAGCCACAACCAGTGTAAAAATCCCTAAACTTTTCTGCACAGGGTAGAACGGCTGCCTGAATGATCCTAACCAGGCAAAATTATATCACCTTTTTAGCTAAGTGAACACAAAATCTTCCCAATGATATACTCATTTCCTAAATGTACCCAGGATTCAGAGAGGCAAAAGGAGCAAACTACTGGCTTAATGTCCAGAGACTGCCAGGTGAAAATAAAGAGCCATTTGCACCCTGAACTATTTATAGCAGAATTTCCACTTCAACCTATCTTAGAAGAGAATAAAAGAAGAATACGTGTATCTATATTTTTTTGTTAGATCACATTTCATGGGGAAAATTCACTGTACTTCCCACTAAGCTCCATCAATCAGAATGAAGCATTTGAATCATCAGAAGGTTTTGGAAAGTCTTGGTTACCTTTGAAAAGCGGGCATTTATCCATTTGGTAAAGGTTTTCTTCTGCACGTCATTGTGTTCATCTGTGGGAGGGAAAAAAAGAGAGAAGGGAGAAGTATGAGACACTGGACCTTTAGTAAGCATGCTACACCAGATCATCTCTATCCCAGAGAGTTTGAAATGGTGCTACTGGTAGACTCCATGAGGCACAATGATCTCCAGCTAATGAAGAATGTCATGGCTGACGACCAGCATTTATGGAGCCCGCTAACACATTTATGCAGCACAGGGAGGCTCAGGCACCTTTCTCAAGCATCGGCATATTGCCAGCAGCCATTAAATCCACATTTGTAGGATAGAATTATCATATGCAATACAGACTTGCATTTTAAGTAATATTTCAGCATAATAAAAATGTCAGCATGTTCAAAACAAAAATCAAAAATATCCATTAAAAACTAAGAAATTCATTATTTCCCTCCTTTTCATATGAGTTCTATGCCTTCCAGAACAAAAACTAGTTCAAGGTTTAGTATGAGTATAGTATAAGGTTTATAGTCAATTCCATACCCTATTTCCTGTAGAAAGAATGACATGGCAGGATTTGAATGATCTTGTTCCATAAATATGATCTATATATTTTGCAAGTAGAGAAATCAGTATTTTTAAAAAATAATTACAAATTCATTTTTCAAGGCACAAATGAAAATTGACCTTAAAAAACTAAAGCATCCTGAACTTCTTGAAGATGGGCAGGGTTATTTAGTTGGCTATAAGGAGGCCTGGCAGTATAACAAAGAGATCAAAGGGCTTTAGAACCAAATAGACCACATCCCAATGTACTAGCCTGTGGCCTTGGGTAAGTCATTTAAGGGCTCCTGGCCTCTAAACTCCCATATGTAAAATGTGGATAAATAGCACCCAGCTCATAAGGGCACTGTGAGGATTAGTGACTATAAGTGGAAAATACTTGGCAAAGAGCTGGTGTTCAATTCTTCTTTGTTCTTGTTATTGTTGTTAGTATAGTATATGTATGAACAAATCAGATAAACATCCATTTTACCCTTTCTGTTACTTCTAATCATATCCTCTTCAATTGCTCACCAATACGCTAATACAACCAGCAAGAGTCATTGTTTAAGTCCTACAAAGCAGTCTGTTAACAACCTCTAAGTACTTCTGAAAGCTGCCCAAGGAGCACCTGGAACAGTGCAGAAAGCTGTTATATACACACTGCTGGTTCCACTACCGTCCATACCACCAGGCTGTGCGAGACCCACCCACCCCCTCACCCCCACCGCATGATAACAGCAAAATAATAAGAGAGGAGGCCCCAGTGTGCCCTGCCCTCCATCCATCAATCTGAAGGGGCTTCCTCCCACCCAGACCTCCTCACTCAGCTCTAACAGCATAATTTGAAATTCACCCCTGACACTTCCCCATGTCTGTGGCGTCTTTGGTCCTTACTCTCTTCTGGAAGGAGAGTTTGTAATGAAAAGGTCATTCCTGGAATAAATATAGCAGCAGCTTCAGGAAAGTGCACTTCTATAGATCCATAAGGGTAATTGGAGACTGACTCCGGGACACAGAGGGGACAACTGGAGAAAAACAAAGCTGCTCTCTAAGAAACTTCTTGATGTCAATTGTGCTAAGCAGAGGCCTTCCTTCCAGAGAGGACAATGCAGTCAGCATCAGCCCCGATTGCAGGCTTTCTGATCAATGCCACATATCAGCCATTTATTAACCTAGAGGACTTGCTTACACATTCTGAATATCCCAGCCTTGACCATCACACCCCAGAGGGACAGAGCTCAGATTATACACAGAATATAAGGCAACCAGATACATCAACCTGCAGAGAGCCTATACCAGACCACCAATATAAATATATTAAAATCAGTGTTCAGAGCACTTGATAAATCCAATTACTTGTCCCACTACTTTCAAAAGATTTATTTTTGTAAATGTTGCCGTATCTATTATTCTTTAATGCTACAAATATATATGTCATAAATATTAAATTCTGTTAATTTCATAACCTTCATACAATTTAAGGATGTTTGACCATAAAATAAGAAAAATTCTAAGGGATAATATTACTACATTGTATTTTTTTTCTTAACCTCTTTTCTAGGTATTTAGCCTTCTTATTTTCAAAAACATATTAAATTATCTAATACTATATAGGGTCCTCAACAGGTATAAAGTAGAATGAAGTACCCATCACCTTATCAAATGATAAATAATGCTGGGTCCATCCCCAGCAGGTCCAGGGGTCCCCAAAGGTGTGGACGGAGTCGGCGAAGAAGGAATGACATGGAGACAGCGTGGGCCCCAGCAAAATAAAATCTTTCAATTTTATCAAATATAAAATGAAATCAAATTCCCACCATATAGAGATGTTTATAAAAATCAATGAAGTAATGTTTCTATGATAGTCTTTGATCTTTGAGTCCAATATAAAATAAAATATTGGCTTTTAAAAGATAATCAAATCCAAATATTTCAAAAACACTCGAAAATTCATCAAAATTCTTTTCTATTAATTTTTGTGGTATAGTTAAAGAGGAAAAAAGGATTCATATTTCATATTTCAATAAGCCTTAAGTTCACATTTTACTCTTTACACACACACACACACACACCCCAGACAGGAATTCAGTAAAGTACAGGAATTAGCCTGCAGCTTTTCGATTATGAGATTAAAAATGTAACAGCTTTGGAACACTTGGTAGTATAGAACTGCCCTCCACACCACAACAATTACGAGCTTGGCCCAGGTCTCTGTAACAGGGAGGTGAAAATATACTAGCAAAGTGGTAGCAGGACATCTCAAAATCTAAGTCATGCTATTCTGATGAATCATTTTGCCTTCCTAGAAATTTATACAGAACTCCAAAAGTCTCGAATTCTGTTAACTCTCCATTATCAAGTCAATTAGTTAACTTACATATAACTATATTTGTTATATATGAATTAAATGAGTGAGTATAATTTACAGTCTAAATATATTCTTTCTGGTTCCCAAACTAGTGTTTTCTTTAGATTTGGAGTTTAGAAACACATTTAGTTTCTGAAAGCCTTTCCTGCCTCAGTAAATCTTACCCATTAATGACCTTTCTCCATTAGGGGGACAAACACGGGACTGAATTAGAAGAAAAATGTGTTAAATCCCTTAAGGCTGATTTTCCAAATTCTTCCTCTAAATATTTTGCTCTTCTTAGAATGCTTTTGACATGCTCACACAGATCCAGGCCCTTGGCTGCTGCCTAGCCTGGAATTTTATTTCTGTGATGGGTAAGAGAAACGAAGCAAGAAACATCAACAAAACTGCCTGATAAATCTTCAAAGAAACGAGTTAGAAATTTATTTCACTTCACCAGCTCAAATGCATATCAAAAATGCCTTTAGCAGAGCTTAGCAGCAAATCTCAATGTAAACGTTAACCTGGAAATGGGGCAGAGAAACTAGGAGTTGCATCCCCTAGGGAAACACACACACATCTCAGGAGCACATACACCACCATTAAAACTCTACTATTAGAGAGAAAGCATGACCCCTTGTACACTTTTCAAAGCAACTGAAGAGTGTCCAATTGGCTGGCAATAACCTGGGTTGCATAAGATGCAACTCTTCAGAAAAGAAGTCCTTAGAATTTAGGCCAAAAAAGAATATCTTGTTGGATGATGTCAAACTTGGATTGACTTTATGGAAGCCTCTTTCAAGAAATTTAACACAACCTAGAAAGCCAGTTTCTCATTAGCAAAAGGAGATGACTTCAAAAGCAGTGAAAGCATTTCAGACCACCCTCTTTTTCCGAGTATGTGAATCAACCCCAAAATAAATCTATTACTAAGGCTGAGTCATTCTCCTCTCCTGCTTTGTCATACCCAATTTGTAGGTCTCTGAAAAACACCAATTCATTTATTCAAACAATTGTATTAAACTGTCATACAGAAACATAAATATTATGTAAATGATCTGTAAAGTACTATAAATATATAGACAAAGAAACAGAGACAAGAGGAGACAGACGGCTCAAATGCAGGGTGCTTAAATTCCTGAGTCTGTTTCAAAATCTGACATCCTCAGAGGATCTGGGAGGGAAAACTTAAAATTAAAAAATGTGCTTTTCAAAACTGTCAAACTACTACCTAAGTGTGTAAGAAACTGTGATAACATTTCAAATTATATTTTTGTAAGTTTATTGCATTTATAATTTGAAGTTCTTAAAGATAAAAACTGCATTTAAAACAGACTTTTGCTTCACTCTGTACAAAGCAAAGAAACAGTTGACGGTCTCTTAGGGAGACGTGGAGATGGACGGAGTGAGAAAGAAGAGGAAAACAATTCACTTTTCAAATGAGAAGCTGAAACCAGAGATAAAAGTTAAAAGAATCTCACCCACATACTACGTTGCAGAGTCACAAACAGAACCAGGTCTGACCACCTCCTGAATCTGTGTTCAATGCACATCCAAGCAAGAGAAGGTCAAAGGGAGTTTCATGGGGGAAACCGGTGTTTACAATATATATTGAAGGATAGATGAAGTTTGGTTCATGCAAAGATGGGAAGAAAGGCATTCTAGACAGATTAAGACATAATTGAATAACACCCTCTCCATTTCAGGCTCAGACTAAATACCAGACCCTATAAAGAAGAGCACAGTTAATAAAACATAATTATGTATCTATAAAAAAACACAGAGGACTGTAACATATAATGATGTCAAGACAATAATTCTAAAATAACCCAATCTTCAGAAAGTTTTCCATCCTGAAAACAGTTGAAACCCATAAAAAGGATCAAGCGTACAGAGTTAGAAATATATGCTCAAAAGAATGTTCTTTTTTTTCTCCAAATCATTCTTTAAATTCTTTATTGTTTAAAGTATTACATAAGTCTCCTTTTTCCCCCATTGACCTCTCCCCAACCACTCCCACCCCCCAGCACATGCCCTCACCCCCCCACTGTCTGTGTCCATTGGTTATGCTTATATGCATGCACATAAGTCCTTTGGTTGATCTCTTCTCCCCCTGCCCCGCCCCTGCCTTCCCTCTTAGGTTGGACAGTCCGTTCGATG